CACAGTGCAGTGAGGACTGTACAGCCTCTTATATCGGAGAAACCAAACAAAAACTTCATAAACGCATGACACAGCATAAGAGAGCCAGCAGCTCCGGGCAAGATTTAGCTATACATTTGCATCTCAAATAGAAAAGGACAAACCTTTGAAGACCAAAGTGCTCAGATTTTGGACAAAGAACAAATTATTTGAAAGAGGCATCAAGTAAGCTATCTTTGTGAAAAGAGATAAGTCATCACTGAACAGAGGGAGAGAGTTACGGTTTTAGCTTCCAAGCATTTGCAATTCAGTCAATGTAACTTGTTCCCAAGATGTTACATAAGCATTCCAATTATGATTCAAAAGACCAATCCCATACCCCTTGCAGAACAAAAGGCTCCAAAAATCCAGTGGAACAAAGGGTGTCTATTTGATTTGCATCTGACTTGGAATGTGTGCAGAACCACTTCCACACTGCTTAAGTACATCAATGCTCTAACTGGAGTTTGCCCTGGTGCAAGCACACAGAATTAACAGAGACTCCTGGATAGGTGTTGAAACATCTTCAAAAGAAACTGAGCAAAAGTCTGGTCTCCTTCCAATTTAGGCCTGTCTGTGGTTGCCATGACCTGGATGATTGATAATTTACACAGAATTTACGCATATTATAAAACATTATATTCCCAATCACAGACAAGCAACAGTGACTAGATGGATGTTTTTTTTTAGCTTAGACAAATCTTTCAAAGTTCACAAATGAAAAAAACAATATATATATGTATTATCTGAACTAACAAAAGAAGAAATCCAATCAGAAAGTAGTAGAACAAATGGTGGAAGTCTCTAGGGACGGAGAGTTTTCCAATGGAAGGGTACAAGACAATGTAACACCACACTACTTCCAATATAAAAAAGAAAGTTAAATTGGGTTCTCCAAAATAAGAACGATCATCCCTTATGGAGGGAGGCAGTCATTTTAATCATACCCAAAGAGGAAAGGAAAGACAAATAGGAATGTGGGAATTATTGTCCGGTAAGCCTTTTAAATAATGATTACAAATTATTATTCACTACCATATTGTGTAAAAGAATAGAACAGATATTACCAGGATTAATAAATGGTGATGAGACTGGCTTTGTCAGACAAAGACAGACTCAAGATAACACAAGAAAAACACTGCACGTCACGACACAAGTCATACAACAAAACTAAAGTACTGATAATAAGTTTAGATGCAGAGAAAACATTTAGTATCTATCTTTCTATGTCCTTAAACAAATAAGGCTTTAAGTGACAAACATGGTCAGCCCGCTAACAATCAGAATTTGGCGGTCGAAAAAAGCTGGGTCTGACCCCCCCTATTAGTAAGCTGCATATCTTCTGTCCCCACACCCATGCGTGTCTGGTGAAGCCATCACGCCGGGTTAGGTTGATGATGTCACCAGTTAAATAAAAAACAGGGAGGTAAACAATAGAGCGCAACAGTGTAGGAACCCAGGGCATGCATATATATATATATATATATATATATATATATAGTTAGATAGATAGATAGTTAGTTAGTTAGTTAGTTAG